CGTTAGTATCAAGACCCGAATATAAAAATATAGTGGATTGTAAATGGATATTTTCCATTGAAAATGATGAAATTGGAAAACCATTTAGATGCTCGTGTTTTAAGTCAACATTACTTGGTAGATTATAATGAAATCTTTGCACAGGTGGCGAGAATCGTAGGTTTCTGGTTTATAATAACGTTTTTAATCAGTTTATCCTTTTAATACATCATATGAATGTAAAAACAGCTTTCCCGGATGGGACATTCAAGGAAGCCATTTTTATGAAGGTTCCCGAAGGCTGAAGGGTAGCTGGCTCAAGGTGTGACAAGTAAACCTCTCAACCAAGTTTGCAAGGCTTTGTATTGTAACATTTTAATTTTGCTCTTCCCATTAAATGAGTAATTCAGCGTTTTAACTGGTAACACACAAATATTATTTTAGAGCTGACTTAATTGATTGGATATTAATTACCTTACTCTGCATCTTTTTAGATAATTTCAGGCACAGCCAGACAAGATTTTGCTCCTTATCATTTGTCTAATGATTTAGTTGACCATTGCAGATGAATATTTATTGAACAATGCCTGGTTATCTTATTCTTGTTGTCCTTAAAAGGAATATACATAAATTATTAATTTCATTAGTCGATAGCCAACATTGTTTTGATTTTCAAATAAAAAGGGGTTATGTCCAGCTAATTGTCATTCAATTTTATTTTCGCGCGAGGCTCATTTCGAAGGATTAATTCCTTTAGTTTTCACTCCCTCTCTGTCTCTCTCTTACTGGAGGATTTCGTTTCTTTTATCTACCTGTTATCGAGTACCTATATCGATCAATTTGCTGGTACTTTGGTTTTGGTCGCGTAGGGTTGGGTTTTTCAATACATGTCGATATAATTGGTGTCGTGTCAGAGAAGGTATGGACAATATTATTTAATAAGTGAAGTTATTTATAGATTTTAATGAGAATAGTGTTTTCCTGATAGTGTGGATTGATTCGGTCCCATTTGTTGAGTCTCTTTGGAGGTTTCGCTGACGACTATCGATATCTTTGTCGTTATCTTTCAATCCTTCCTAAAGTGTGGAATGTGGAATTCGATAGAAAAAAATGTAACATAAAAAAAAGAGTTAGTGCCTAGAAATTTCTGGTTTAGGTTCCAAAAAATCGTACAACGGTCTCTTCTATTTCGTCCAGCGACTAGAACACTTTGGCTTTGGCCTGAAGAATAGTTTTTTATCCGGTTGACCATAAAGAAAATTAAGTGATTTTCTCTATTTAATTAGGATCCGGTCATCCAGATAATTTCAATTTTGGTTTTGCCAGTCTAGTTTTGGTTTTTGTTACCTTTTGGCAGCCAAATCACCTTTCTAAGGGATTTATCTATTTCTTCTAGTCGGTAAGTCCACCATTTTGTGAATTTGTTTTATTGTAAATTAATTAGTTCTATTCTCACAATAGAATATCACATCACGTCGCTTGGATTGAATTGTTTGAGCCTAGATTCTTAGAGCCTTGATTTTATTGTTGCTCGTTATTGTGAACTTCCAAATTGGATCAGCCAGCGTAGGTGAAATTAGAGTTCCATGACCTTCCGTTCACCTTCAACCTTTGAGCTGTGACCCTCAAAAATCCACGAGGTAATTATAATGGCAATTTTCCATTTTAATGTTTTATTGGGGGACCATTCTATGCCACATTGATTGGTAGACTTATAGTTTTTTATTTAAATATATTTTTTTTTGGCAATGCAACTTATTTGATGAATTGAACTCATTATATTTAGTAAATGGGTTAAGGGAATTGAAGCGTACAATTTCATATCCCAAGTGGCACAATTTCAATGGGGATTTAAGGGTAATTTATTTACTCATTGGTGCTTTCTTTAGGGTCTTATGGTACGGTTTTATGCTACCGTTTTCGATAACGCAACTCAGTGGATGTTTTGATGGTATGCAGTACCCACCACTGTATCTGAATAGCAAAGACTCGGCGAACTAGTTTTCATTGATGAGATAGATCATCTGGTACGAGTGTGAAATCCCAGACCCATTGTTAATTGTCAGCATAAAGCTAAGTAGTTTAGTGTAATTTTTTTTTATTAATTATTTAAAAATATCGTATATGGCTTAGGTAACTTTAGTTACTCACATTTAAGTAAACATTTGACCCCATTTATTTGCGGAGTGATCACTGACGCTGGGTGTGTGTTAATTCGCACTTATTGGTTATTTTAGTTTTAAGTATAGCTCTCTGCTTACATAGGTATTCATACATATCAATACCGACAGACAGTTTTCTTAAATCTGACTATGAGGAAGCCTTTAGGTTCTTTATTCCTGCTAGTCGTCATACTAGCCTCTGAATACTTGTCATAATCATTATTTAATCACCATAACTTGTACTAAATCAATACTTAATATTCAATAAATACTGATTTTGTTGTATTGCCAATTACCTGCTTTCTTTGTCTTTTTGCTTATCCAATTATTTTCTTACATTTCAGGCATAATAATTTGGTTTGTACTTTAGTTCAACCTGCAGTCATCGCAGGACTTTTCCGATTTAGTTTCAAAAATTGGTGGCGCACGAATCCACGAACCGGGCACGTGGACACTTTAACCAACTCTGTTGAACTAAGGTTGCAATCCAAATAAGGTTACATTTTGGTAATTGATTTTTCTTACGTAAAATAAAAGTGTTACAGTATCTATGAACTAAAACAAACCACTAGATGTTAGTTTGCAATAATAGTAAAAGTTCATAAAGAAAATGGGTTTGAAAATTCATCAGTTAATCACTGTATTTATATCTTAGACAAAGGTGCAATATGTAAAATTATTTATGTAGTTCTGTAGATGGTATTTGCCACTGCAGATAATAATACATTGAATAGTTTAAAAAGGGATTTGGCAAATAACTGTTCTATGTTTTATTTGAAAGACAGTAAACTATTTTTGGGTAATAAAATTAAAAGGTACCTAATCAAAAATAAAATTACTCTTGATCAATTTTCATATAGGTACAGTTCAAATGTACATGAAAATATGAAAACTATTTTACATAAATTTAATATGAATGACTGTTGTGCCATCAGCTGTGTCAGCACTCCACTTCCTAGTAAACTGAATTTGATTGGTTTAAATTCAGAAGAAAAACATGATAGCCCTAGCCGGAATCTAATCCTCTGTTCAATGTATATTATGTTATGTATATCAAGCCTGATTTAAGTACTACTGTTAATATTTTGAGCAGGTATTAAAACAAGAATAATAAAGAGTTTTGGAAATATCTGAAAAGGGTCCTTAGATATCTTAAGGGTAAAATCAATGTGAAGTTGACTCAATATTTTAGTTGTGAATATATTAATTTCTTGAGTGATTCCATTAATCCTGACTAAGGTGGAGATGCATGATATAAACAATCTAAAAGGCACAACAGGATATTTATTTAAACTGTTTGAAATTTGTGTGATATGTTGGAATACAAAAAGGCAGTTGTCAGTAGCGGCATCATCTACTGAAGCCGAATATATGGTTTTCCTTTTAAAGCTGTCACAGAAGCTCTTTGGTTAAAATCATTAGCAGAAAATATGCATAAACATTAATATCAGAGTCAATTATGAACTAGGAGGACAACAATGGACCTCAATAAGTATTACAAATAATCCAACAAATCACAAAAGATCAAATCATATTGAATTGATCGTAATTAATATAAAATATTAATTTGTCCACAGATAAACCACTAGCAGACATGTTACCAAACCATTGATGCAAGTGAAATTTGAGAAATTAGAATGGAATTAGGCTTAGAAAATAAGTTAAATGGTTTGATTAGGTTTTTCTGGGTTTTCCCTAATCCCGAGCTGCAAATGCTGGACCGTTATTGTAATTTGCCCCAGAAAAGACACACATAAGGAAAGCGGGCCTATTTATGTCATACTAGAATACTAGGTTTAAGTTGTATTACACTTTTAGTATAATTGATCAAATTTTTGAGGTGGCGTGTTGGATAAACTGATATTCATATCAGTGAAACAAAAATTTAATAAATTAAACTTTGATTATTAGCCTAAACTTTGCTAATTTATATCGCAGCTATGGATGACTGAATGTGTTTATAATAGTTTTTATATGTAAGGTAAACAGATGAGGAATCGTTTACTTAAGAAAGGGTTTGTAATTCTTTGTCTTGATGTTGAGTCAGTTCGTATAGTTATTTCTATGAGTTCACACGCTCTGCTTTCCACGCTGTGTTCGATATAATAAATATATTGAATATCGATAATTAACAAGTTCTTTTATTTCTTAGTCCATTTCCCAATAACCAATTGTAAAAATAAATTTAAAAAATCTATTTTGCATTAATTGATCCCCGAATGCTTTAAAAGAAATTATTGGATCAAAAAACTCAACCAATTTTTATAGAAAATATTATTAAGGAAATACTTATCAAAAATAAAAAAATAGTTTCTTATACAATATTTAATTAGTGTATTTGAAAAAGACAGAGAGTAACAATAAATCACTTTTTCTACGAACGTGCGTGAAACCTCACTTTTCCGCACGCATTTAGGTTTTGAAAGTACTTACCACTTCTCCGTCTATTCCGCACTAGTGCGGAAAAGTAAAATACTTCAAATGGGTAGGTATATAGGTATTTTACAGGTATTTATTTTTTAACCAATTCTCTATTATTTCATAATAATCAATAATTAAACTAATCCTTCAATCAGTGCTTTAACACTGGTACCAAGAATATAAAACCAAAATCAACAATCAACAGTCTTTTCCAAATACACTATAGTTCTTAGGAATTTAAATAATAAATATTTTATTTTGCAATCCCATTCCCAATAAAATTGTTATTGTTTTAACAAATTCAAATTAATAACAAAAGGCACATAAACTATTGAATATTATTCTGAATTGTTTTTTATTACGCTCCTCAAGTGATCAGGAAACTATTGATTATTTGAACTCTATGTCAGTGACTATTTGAGCAAAAATAGTACCTACCTAAAATATCCAAAGTACTCTGATGGTTGGACACGATAATGCAAGACTTTTGCGGTACCAAACGTTCGCCATTCCGAAGTTCCCATTTGACTCCTATCATGTGAGTGATCCAGCGACAGAAATATGAAGCTAAACTGAAACAAAATAAAATAAATTGACCACTCGATTTTTTTTGTGTATTTTATATTGTATTTGTATGTATTGTAAAGATCCCAAAAAAAAGGCCATAAATTACAGGGATTTAAAAGTAAAAAAGAGGAATTTTCGGAAAAATAGTTTTGGCATTTACTATTTAATAACAGACTAGAAATAATGAAAGCAGTTTCACAGACAACTCTCAAAGTACTGTAGCAAAACGCCCCAAGTATTCTATTTGATTAGTTAGATGATAAATGGCGAGCGGTATGTTGATGGTGTTTATTTCTTTGAGCTGCTACTTATAAAATTGTGGAGGGGGTCTATTCGCAAAAGAGAGAAACAAACTATTGAGGTTTACTAGATTACCTATATTTTATTATACTTAAAACCAAAAATTTAAATAAGCAAATATCTTTCTATTCTGACAGCCACTTCTATTTTTCCCAATTCAAATTATTTCACATCCGTTCAAATTTCATTACTACGGACCAAGAAATATACATAGGTACTAAAAACTCCCTACTTCTTCTATTCTTAATAACTTAACAAAACTTCCGACTCACATCCCTATCAAAACTACCCTTCACCTATATCTATAAATTCTTAAAAATTCCTAAGTCCTTTACTGACTGCTTATGCAAAATAATTATGTAAGTCATAATCCGACTCACTGGATTAAGTATATAGGTATTACTAACTATATTTTTATAAAAATCTTGCAATAATTTCTATATATAAAAAAAAACTTAATTCAAAATTTCTGCACTTAAGGTCAACAACTTCATGAATAACAAGTGTCTTTTAAAAATTTCCCATTCCATTCAATGGTTTATTTAATCGGAACAATTACTATTTTCGGATTCCTAGCCAATAAACACAATTATTTAATTAATAATTCCTACTCAAAATCGTATATTGTTAAGAGCATTATAATTTTCCTTTGTTAATTCTTTACAAAATTAAATTAAAATGTCATTATACTCGAAGGCAATTAAAGTTATGCAATAAAATTTTTACAATCAAATCACTCAAGTTTTTATGCATTAAAGTTCAAAGTTTAATCACACGAAATCATGTTCATCATTTATAGTCAAAATAAAACTTGTCACTAGAGTATGTACAATGGGAATCATTGCAATTGGCACACACTATATAAATATCCCTCGTAATGTGTCAAAACTGACACACAGTAATAGCAAAATGCTACACTAAATAGATTTATTGGTTAGAATTTTGACTTAATACGAGGGATTTTAAAGAATGTGCCAATTGCAATGATTCCGACTTTATTTACTTACATTGGTCCTTAAGACAGAAAACTAATCTAATAATTCTTTCAATTACTTAGAGCTCGCACATAATGTTGAATGGCTTTAAATGTTATTTCTTTCTCGATTTTCTGTTACTTTTCAAAGTTCAATCAAACGCGTTCTCCCAAGGCGCGAATTTTATCCGGACTGACACATTAGGTACTGTAAATAGACTTTAACTCAAAGTGGACTGAACTGCCAACTGATCTCAACTGATCCTCCACTTCTAAAACCGCCTGTTTTATATTTTTCGATTCCCCCCAAAGTATTATTAATTATCCACCAAAATCGACAATGGGCGGTCGTTTGACCATCAATAAGTCAATTCTATTGATCGACCTAGATTAGTCCAAAAATTAATTTCATAATTTTCAGAGGAGGATGCAACCTCTTCGAAATTTTTGTCATTTCTTTGTTTAAAACCGTATAATTATGCGCAATTTCCTGGTTTATCGGGATCAACAGATTTGGTTTAAGAATGTGAGGACATCTAAATCAATAAATCAAAGAATGCCGATACACGTGTTGGACGTCTCGGCCATAAATCACAGATTTAATTACTTTAGCCTTGCTTTTAATATTTTTAGGAATTTGATTTAGATGATGACACCACGCTTGGTGACTAAATTTTGAACATATTTTAGATGTTTTAATTAATTTGGTGTCAACGTTATTTTGTTTCATTTTCAATTTATTGATACCTACTGATATGAAATACCGGAGTTTCAGTTTTTGATTATTTGATTCCATTTAATTTTTACAGTAAAGACATTGTAAATTACGGTCTATTTTCCCCAGGTCATTACAGTACCTACCTACTCGAGACACTCGAGTAATACCCAGTGGCGTAGCATAGGCTATTGTCGCCCGGGACGGAATCATAATTTGCCGCCTTTTTGACGTCATAAAAAAAAACGGACTGGGTTCGGTAATTGCATCTGCGACGTCACGTGATCACTTATCTTTTTTCACATGTCAAATCACGTGACATTCAGTCAAATTTTGCTCGCAGATGCAATTACCAAACCCATGCCACGGTGTGCGCTTCACACAACAGATGAGAAAACTTCAAAATTCAATAAAACGTAGGTTTAATAGAGAGATTTTAAGCCGCTGAAAAATCAGCATTAAACATTAAACGTTATACTGCTCATGCGCAATAGCTTGAGAATTGAGGATAATATAAATAACTGATATTGTGTTCCTTTATTTATGTTCCAATAAGGGCAACATTATTAAGGGAAATGTTATCAACATCGTTGTCAAATTTAAGTTGAATAATTTGATTTTCAGATAAAAATGAAATAATTACAAGTAGAAGAAGTCCATCTACATGGATGCTTCTGCAAAACATTATCTACATTACATAAATTATATATTTGCTTCGAAAAACACAAAATATATACAGTGGATTCGCCTAATTGTGATTAGAGGGTAAATGTGACACATGCAATTAACTTGCATCTTAATGTCAGAACGGTAAAGCTGGCAACTCTGTAAGTACGCGGGCATATCACTTTATTCCGCCAAAAATTTTCAGTTGCTTCGTGGTCACAGTAAGAAAAAGGTAAGTTGCAATATTATTTTTTCAATTTTACTATTTTGGTTTTCTAGTACATACAATTGTGTTACGTATATACCACGGTAAATTTGGCCAAGTTTTATAGCTGTTTACCTAGGTAAAGATGTAAGGAGTGAAGATTTTATGTCGTACCTTAACCTCAATATTTCAAATTTTAAACTTGAGTGGGTGTCACATTTAGGCTCCCAAAAATTGCGAATCGTGTAATTGTGATTTTATGTAATGTTTAATTGAGACACTCTGTCACAATATTACCACGAGAAATGAAGGGTTTATTTCCTCATTTACAGGTTCGAAATGCCGAAAGAAAGGATAATGGTAAAAAGCTATACGAAGGAGGACATAGAAAATGCAATAAACTCTATAAGAAATGGGATTATGTCTTGCAAAAGAGCATCTATGACTTTCAAAATTCCCCGATCAACTATTATCTCAAGACTGAAAGGGTGGAAAAATAGAGCTCCCACAAAGTACGACAACCCCGGTAGAATAACCGATTTGTCTCCAGAGATTGAGGCAGGCCTCGCAAGAAATTTGAATGCTTTAAATAAATGGGGGTTTGGTCTTTCGAGGAAGGAAATCCTATGTCTAGTAGGCACTTACGTGAAAGAAAACAAAATCGTAACTAGATTTAAAGACGGAATTCCTGGAAAAGACTGGTTCATCGGATTTTGTCGACGACACAACTTGTCTTGCAAGAAACCAATAAAACGACAAAGCATTCGTACAACGCCCGAGATAATACAATTTTTTTTTCAATTGTATGAGAATACACTCAAGGAACTAGATCTTTTGAACGCTCCAGAAAGAATATTTAACATAGATGAAACGTCACTTTGTAGCGATCCAAGTAACACAAAGGTTGTGTCGCAGAGAAATCAACCAGTTTTTCGTCACACGCACGGCACAGGAAGAAGCAACACAAGTATTTTGTTCTGTATTTCAGCTGACGGAAACAGACTACCACCATTTATTATTTATAAGGCCAAAAATCTATGGGATTTGTGGATGCCTGAAGGCGCTTATCCTAATACTGGCTATGCTGCAACTCCTCACGGATGGATGACCGAGTCTGCGTTTTTTTCTTGGTTCAAAAACCACTTTATTAAATATGGCCCCAAGGAAAGACCACTTCTACTAATTTTTGATGGGCATACTTCACATGTTTCTGTAGAACTTGTAAAATTGGCTATTGCAGAAAATATAACATTACTGAAACTTCCACCCCACACGACACATGTCTTGCAACCCTTAGATGCAGTGCCATTTGGAACATTTAAAAAAATGTGGGACGAAGAATTAACCATATGGCAGAGAGGACATTATGGCATTGCTTTAAGCAAGGCCGAGTTTTCTGTAATGGTTGGAAAAATTTGGGAGAAATTGCCGATTCAGTTGATAAAAAAATCTTTCCAAATTACAGGCTTATACCCAGTTAACTTCAATGCAATAGACCTCAGAAAATATACGTCATCGTCTTCAGAAATAGAACACGAAAATTCCGAAGACAACATCGCATTCACGGAACCTGGGACATCTAACCTAATCAGAGAGCAGCCTGGAACATCGAGTAACATAAATGAAGAGCGGCCATCTACATCAGAAAAAATACTGTTTGAAGATCTTCTTTTGAAGAAAATATCTTTGGGTAAAAGCTCGACAGAAAAGAAAAAGAAAGTTTCCATGAATGCTGAGGTGATTACAAGGGAGGAGTTTCTCAAAAATTTAGAAGAGCGTGAGAAGCTGAAAACAGCTAAAAAAAGAATTAAAAAAAATATCAAAAAAATGGACGACGATGACAGTAGTAGTAATGAGTCCATTCCCGAAAGTCTTGATGCTCATGATGATAAATACGATGATATTCAAACTTTAGAAGAGTTAGTAGAAGCAGAAAAAAGTGATGAAGAAGATGATGATATTTCCATTTCCGGTCCCCAAATTGGCAGTTGGGTTATTGTAACATACAGTACAAAAAAGTCTCTTCGACGTTATGTGGGAAAAGTATTAAATATTGAAGATGAAAGCGCAGAAGTTAAATTTCTCAAAAAGTATAAATCATATTTTGTGTGGCCGGACACTGATGACATTGACACTGTTTCCATAT